TTGCTATATATAGTGTAAGTTTATCATGCATGTTTGAGATAGTAGTGGACAAATAACTAAGGGGTCGTTTGGATGGGTTAATTGAGAATGTGGTATTTGTGAGATCAAATAACTCATTTTCTCTATATGTGGGATTTGTGTGTTATTTGATAAATTTTAAAATAAAAATGTCTTGTTTGGATGAAAGAAAGTTGTGAGTTATTTGTATTTGGTATTTGGTACCATTAAATGAGAAAATACTATACTGTCCTCAAAATAAACTCATCCATCTATACAAATCCAATCCCCACGACCATGTCCTCAAATTGTCTTTGATTGGGTTTCCAGATTTGATTAGAGATCTAATCAAGACCACAACATAATCGTTCAAGAAAGGAAGAATCATACACAGATTAGGCTTAAGTTGAATCGAAATTGAGAAGACCCACAGGAGAATTCTTTGCTTTTAGATCCACCGCTCCACCAGCGCATCCAACGTCGAATCCCTCTCTCCACCACCACCTGCCCAACTTCCCTTCCACCGTCGACCCAGACCAATCGCATCGCATCCCACGATTCACATCCTTAACCCAAATCATGACATAGGCCACGATCCAAATCCCCAATCTAAATCGTGACTGGAGCTCCCAGCCGCGGCGAGAGATAGAACAGTGATGAATTCTTGCCCGATGCATCTTCTCTTCTCCCCAGCCCACGCACATGCATCCCCAAATTGAAACCCACTTTAGATGATAGCACTCGCTTCACAGCTCTACTGAACCTCAATTCTTGCCTCCTTCGACCAACCGCCATAGCTTTTGAAACCTCTATCGTCGCATGTGAATCCGGCCGCCGTTGCATACTCCGCCGACAAACCCCTCTTCATTGCGATTCGAAAAAAAACCCACTTTCGTATATGCTATGGAAAGCTAAAATTCCCAATTTCATAATTGCTGTCGACAAGGAATTGAAGGATGGAAGGTGAAAGCTAGAAATTGAGAGAATGAACAGAGAGGGAGAAGAAGAGGTAATGGAGTCGTCTGTGAGAGATGAGCAAAGGAAGAAAGAGGCAGGGGCAGCGTGGGAAGAGAAAGTAAGTAGAATGCGTTATTTGTAAATAACACCTCCGGAGGTGTTATTTACAATAACTCAGTTTTGCGTTATTTCAAAATAACTCATCTGCAAATAATCCATTCCACCAATTCGAATCCAAACGAGTTATTTTGGTCCAAATAACCCGTTGTGAGTTATTTGGGTCAAAATAACTCATCCAAATCACCCATCCAAACGACCCCTAAGTTTATTATGTTTATTTATATAGATTGAACAACATTAACTTAAGGGTTCAGTACAGAGTGCAATTATGGGCAACTTGGTTTTCTGGAACTATTTAGTTATGACAAAACTCTAAGCACATGAGCCACTAGAGTTATTGAAGTTGACAGGGAAGAATTTAGGGTTGGAGTGGCGTCATCAGTGCTTAAGGATGGCGACGAAACAAAACCCAAAAGCAAAGAGAGTTGGCCGATGATGAATTCTAAAAAAAAGGAGATGCAAATATTGCAAGCAGAATTGGATAATCGCTCCAAAGTTGAAACCGAGTTGCATTTGCAGGCAACTTGTCAAAAAATCTTATTGTTGACACTTTCAATTAATGACTATACGAAACATAGGTACAAATAAGAATTTTTCAATGCTAACTCTCGCCACAAAATTAAACGAACTCAAATTTCACTTAATATGGCTATTAAATCTATTCATACCTTTCTCACTTATATTTAGATGTAGAACTCATCAGATTTAACTATTTAGTTGTCACATATAGAGTTATCATTTACATTTATTTGTATAACTCATGTGGAAATTAAGAACAATATAGTCACCACTGCTTTTATATGGTATCACAACTAACTAATTGGGTTTATTCAATTTCATGTCCCAAATTAGCAAACACAGTAAATAACCTAACTATAGCCAAATTTTGATGGAAAGTTGATTAACAATCATTCACAATCAACAACAATGTAAATTTAAAAAAAATATATAAGTTATTAAAAGTACTCATAAATATTTTTTCAAAAAGTGTATTTGTGTCATGGATTTTGGGGTCAGCTGGTATGATTACTTAGTGTCAGAGAATATATGCATATTTTAACAGAAATAAAATGTTGAATTCATAAGTGTACCCATTTGCATGAATAAGTTTATACCTGTTCTAACACCAATTTATAAGACACTAAATAAATGCACTTAGTACTCGGTTTTAACTAACGGATGAAATACCACATTGCAACCTACTGCCATTAATGCCACAAAAAATAAGTATACTTCTAAACCAAACATAAAATATTTCAAACATCACAAATATTATATTTGCTAAAACAAAAATCATTCAACCAACCAAGTAAATATAGAGTTACATCAAACTTTAAACCATAATATTTATTTGAAAATCAAAATGCATGATCAGGTGATTTTTACTTAGTCACTTGTCCTGGCCTTACAAATTTACTAACACATCCAAAAATGGTGAAATGAACCAATACATTAAACTCAATCTCGTCTCGTGATTGTTGAGTATAATCATGCCAAATTAGAAAGACATTTGAGGCTTAACGATTAACCGTACTTACATAAAAAAATTCAGAAAACCAGTCACTAATTATTTGTACCAAATATCATTGTTTCATGATAGTTCTAAAAATTGATACTAAGTTTAGAATTTCACATCCCTTTTATATATTTAGTACTGCAATTTGATATGCAATATTCGAAACAATGATGTTTGAGTTGCGGTTTTCAGATTATCCTCCATTTATAAGATAGACAATAATTATTATAGCCTCCACTTTAAAGCTACTATCCAACCCAAGTCTATTTATAATGGTGTCCGCTTTCGCGCTTCAAGAAAAATAAAAATCTATAAACTATGCTCACTTACTAAAGCCTTAACATGACACCTGCAATCATCAACAAAGTGCTTTGCACTGACCTGTCCTCAAACCGAGGAGCTGGGAATTTGAGATAAAATAATAAAAAATTTAAAATCAAAGTATCAAACACTAAAAAATACTTCAGGAAGACTTAGTGGGTTAACTAATCGTGTTGGAAAAGTTATCTGATTTTCAGATTTTTATTTATTGTATATTTTTTATTTAAAAAATTATAACAAATTTTTTTAGTGTAATTGGTTGTGATTGTTATCTTTATTGGAACTTGGAAGCGACTCGGGTTCGAAATCTTGACATTGATAATTTTTTTCAAATAAGAAATAAACCATTGCAATGACGAATATACTCTTCCTACTTTCACTCTCATTGCAGTAAATTTGAAATGCAAGAAAAATGACACATGAATCGCCATCATAAATTTATAGGTAGATTTCACCCTTATAAAAAAAACTTTCTCCATAAACAGCGATGGAAATCAAACAAATTACTTATATTTCCAGTTGTATTTTTTTATAAGGGTGATATAAGTTTCATTTTGTTGTTGTTAAGATACTATTTAAGAGATTAAAACCTCAAACCTCTAAATTATAGGCTAGTAATATTACCACTAGGCCAATGAGATGGATTTGATAACCGTCTTCCTTTATGGCGAGTTAAAAGAGAACGATGTAAATACAACTGAAAACGGAACAAAAATGGGGAGTTTGTTCGTGGCAATTTTGTTCAAAGATGTGGAGATTCAGCCGTCCTCGTTTTGGCAGTGGCGATGCTTTTGTTTCTTCCACAATGATATTATTATTGACCATTCTCATTATTGCAACAGTGATTCTCTGCTTCATGTCGACATTCGCGGCGGCGAAACGCGAGGAATAGCGGTGGGGGCCGTAAGTAAAGAGGCAGAAGTAGGAGCCGACAGTCCAACCTTTATGGCATGGTTCATAAAATTGTACCGGAGACTCGGGAAAGTAAGTGATATGGTATTTATAGTAAAATCGTGGTTTAATCGTTAGTATCATTAAATACAGTCTATTGGTTTAGTCTCAAATACTGGTTTTTCGTAGTTGAACCACTAGTACGATACGATTTCATGGACCATGCTTTATGGCAACCCATCATTTTTTGGTTCTTGAAAGAAAGTGAAAAATAGTTGTTTTCAGCTAAGGACAAAATGCAGAAGAGATGACACACAGTATTGCTATGATGATTTTCCAAAATGTGTTTCTAAATGAAAGCGTTTTGGTGATATAAAAGTATAAAACTGTAATTTTTTTAATTTTTTTATATTGATAAAAAAAATTAAATAGAACGAATGTCACATGGGCAAACAGTAAGTTTTTAACTTTAAAACACGTTTTTAACTACATTAGTAATAAAAACTATGATTTTGCGTGATTTCGACTATATTGATGATAAGTGTATTCTTTCCTCTAAAATCACCATTAAATTGAGGTCGATATTTAAACATAGAAAATCAGAAGAAAAAAAAAGATTTTCTACTTACCAAAATTAGTGTTAGCACCATAAGAATATTTTTTTGTGCGTTTTTTAGTTATTTTTTTTTTGTCATAATGTGAGTTTTTAAGTTGAAACAAGGAAAAATGATATAATTATCTGTCACCTAAAATTCCAGAAAGAGAAAAGGAATGAAAAATTGGAATAAATGCGTAATTATGGAACGACCAAAATTGAGGGACCAAATTGGAAACAAATAAACTACATTTAATTCCCCACTAATTTTGGCGGGTTGCCTCCCCAGTGCCACAAATCCATTTATATTACCCTCCTTGTCTTCCACTTTCCATTCCATCGGTTGCTTTGTTCCACTCCCTCCATTCTCTGTTTCTCTCTGCCTCTGCCTCTGCCTCTGCCTCTGTCTCTTCCTCTGTCTCGTAAATTTCCTCGAAAAAATCCTATCGCTCCAGTCCAGAGGCAGAGATTCGAGGCGCGCAATTCAAGGAACTCGTCCTTTTTCTTCTTTCTCTTCTTTTCCCCTCTTCTTCCCCAGATTTCCCTTTTTCTCAGGTCTCTCCTTTCCTACCCTGAAATTTCCCATTTTCTCGGCAACCAAACATGATCTCCACCTCCTTCAACCAGCCGCATCTCCGTTTCCCCTCCTTAACTCACGAAAAGAACACCAACCATCTTCGACCCAATCGCAACCGATTCATACCCAGAATCCGGATCCCGCCGAATTCATCTCTCGAATGCAATTGCCGGCGGGAAAATCGATTCTCCGACCCGGGTCAGCAGGGGAATAATAAAAGGCCCGACCTTTCCGTTCGTTACGCCACCGCGGAGTGCCCCACCTCAGCGATTTCCGAGTCCGGGCTCGTGGGCGACCGGCTCCGGGGCTTGGTTTCGGAGTTCGGGTCGTTGACGGAGCCGCTGGATCGAGTCAGGCGGCTCCTCGACTATGCGGGCCGGCTCCCGCCGTTTGACGAATCGAGTCGGGTCGAATCCAACCGGGTCGCGGGCTGCACGACCCAGGTCTGGCTGGAGGTCGAATTGGACGAAGAGGGGAACGCGAGGTTTCGGGCGGACAGCGATTCGGAGATTACAAAAGGGTTTATTTCGTGTTTGGTCTGGCTGCTCGACGGCGCGGCGCCGGAGGAAGTGGTGGCGGTGGAGGCGGAGGATTTGGAAGTGATGAACGTTGGGTTCAACGGGAGAACTCCGTCCAGGGTGAAGACGTGGCACAATGTTTTGGCAGCTATGCAGAAGAGGGCCTTGGCTTTGAGTAATAAGAAGAAGAGGAAGATGAAGAAGAAACCATTGATTGTACCGCCGATTCTGCCTCTCATCGTCGCGGCGGAGGCACTCGCCGGTAATCTTCCCAATTCCCAGGTAGTAGATCACATTTAGTAGGAAAAACCAAAATGAGGGTTTTGTCCCATTTGACTTATAGTTTGGTTCTTTGGTGGCAAACAAACTAAAACTAGACGCCACAAGCTATTTGGAACCAAGTAATCAAGGTCCCAAATTTGGAGGAAGAATTGTGGCAGAAGTCCTTAACCTCTTACTACTGCATTTGCCAGCTTTGAAAGAAGCTAATTTCATCAGCAGGGCATCGATTTGTCGGTACTTATAAGATCGATCTAGCCTAGAAAGTCTGCACCATAATCCCGTAAGAACAAACACTGAGTAGCCTTAGTGCATTGCTGCCTCCAAGTGATTGATTGAAGACATTAGGATACAGAGAATGTATTTATCAAATAGGTGGCTTTGTAGATGATAGAAGTGTGTTGATAGGAAATTATTAGAACCTTTGCCATCTTAGTTGTAATTTGGTAGGTTTCAGTTTACTCAAGGTTGGTATTTCAGTGATGTTGAAGCCATTAGTTTCTTTCACTCTTTTCTCATCAGTTTCAATTGTGTTTCTTATATTTTTCCTTGTGCTTCAGTTACAAGACTTTTGCTGAATGTTGCCTTTCTTTATTCGCACGTAACCTTTGACTTCTTTATGATGCCCTCCTTCATTCTTGCTGTCCCGGTGGCATCTACATGAATTGGATTGGAAGATCTGATTTCGGTTTGGAAATTTATTGTTTTGATTTGTAGTTGGCTTATAACCATGGTCCATGAAACCGTACCGGGTATCGTACCGGAAAAGTCAGCGGTATGATATTTTATGATAAAACCGTGGTTTTACCGTAGTTGAACCGTTAGACCGTTAAATACTGCCTACCGATTTAGCCTCCGATACTGGTATTTCGTGGTTGAACCGTCGATACGGTACGGTTTCATGGACCATGCTTATAACATAAAATAGAATAAAGAATTTGGTCATTCATTAACCAAACCAAATCTGAAATCGATAAAAACACCTTTTTCATCGTCTGACGCCACTCCTTAGAGAGTAGGAATGTAGGATGTTCTAGTTTCACACTAGGCATGCCCTAGCATGATTGAAGCTCCTAGGCTCTACACTAGCACTGCTAAGTAAGCCCAAAAAAAAGCAAAAACAATAACAATAAGAACGAACGTGATGGCAAGAATGACAGTGATTACAATAGGCGACCATCAAACGTCACGAGATGCAATGAAATGTATCGCCAATTGAATAAACTCGACTACATGACCGCCGGCAAGATCCTTTCATATGAAATATGAAGAAGGAGCACGCTCTGGGACCTGGCCCCTGGGTGCTTGCTTGGTTAATCCTCAGAGCCAAGGCAGACGGATTGGATTGTTTAGTCCAGAGAGAAGGGAGATTGGGCCCAATATGAACTCATTGCAGGGCCGCTGGACTACTTCAGCTATTTGTAATTTCAACATAGTCAGTAAATACTCCGTTTAATATACGTATATGTACACATATATATATTTTAATCCGTTTAAAACTTCCGTATTCGTATTATTGTCAAACTGTTTCATTTTTTCGTGTTCATTAGATGGCTCCCGTACAAAACACGTATAACACGTTTAATATTCGTATTTAATGAATTAAATTGTAACTTTACTACTATTTATATATTTATTTATTTTTAAAATAATTGTTTTTTTTATGTTTTTACGACTATTAACGTACTTTTAAACCTAACATTAACTTAGAAATGACGTAAAATATCCGTATGTATTTTTCACGTAACTTTCCCGTACCGTATTTCACTAACTATGCTTTGTAGAGAGTAGAGACCACTTGACTTGAAGGTTAGTTGAAAGGGAGGTGTCGCCTGTTTACTTAACCCTTGAGCTTCCTAACAAGGATGATTTGATGATTATGCGAGAAAATGATTGCTCTCATCTCATGGATTACATGACCATCCAAGTAGCTTCGATTGGGGTTAGTAAGGCGGCTGGTTAGCCAAGCTTAGTCAGTTGAATGGTTTTTTTTTTTTGACAATTGGTGAGATTTTATTCATCAAACGATTGAAGTACAAGCATGGCCTATTACAGCAAAGGGGAGACCAAGTCAAGAATTTGGATCCACTCAGAAGGAAGAGAACCCCTCATAGTTTCTTTTGCAACCCAATCAGCACATTTGTTGTTCCTTCTGTTAGTAAAAGCCACCTGGATATGATCGTTTTGAGAAAGAGTTTGCTTCATACAGTGGATCCAAGCCTTTACTTGCCATGGCCAAGAAATGCTCCGATCAAGGAGAATGTTGATGATGATTTGACAGTCAGAGAAGATAATCGTAGAGCAAACAGAATCTTGAGCCATCTTCAGTGCAACCAATAAAGCCTTCGCTTCCGCGACAATCGCTGATGAACAAAACAAGGTCCCAGCCTTTCCGTCAATCACTTGTCCATGATGGTTACGAACAACAACACCATAAGCCGCCACCTGTGATTCCGAGACGAAAGCTCCATCACAGTATATTTCCTGCTGGAAATAACTAGGCGGTAGACTAAGGATTGTACGGGGTGGAATAGGCTGAGGAGGAGAGCAAGAAGCCAACGGTGCTTCACAGGAAATCCAATTAGTGAAGAAACCCAACGCCTTGGCCGAGGTTGCTCGAAGCTGCGGACGGACACCCTTGAACACCCATTCATTTCGAGCATTCCAGAGCGCCCACAGTTGAGCCACCACTGCCACTAAAGAGTTGAAAGAAATCACGCCATGAAGATTGAAGAGCCACATAAGGATCGGGAGGGTACTTGGAGGGAGAGGGAGATCAGCAAAGCCCTCCTGCCAAACTAGGATAGCATGGGGGCATCCAAAGAGACAATGCCACACATCCTCGAAATCACCACCACAAAGAGTGCAGGAAGGAGAGTTAATCACTTTCCGGAACCAAAGATTCCTATTTGTTGCCATTGCATTCCTGGTGGTCCTCCAGATGAAATTGAGGATCTTTGGCGGGAGGTAAAGACTCCAAAGCCACTTCCAAGCTTTAACAGAACAGTCAGGATGGTTAGGGTCGTCAGAACCGGTCCTAGTCCTTTCAGATGCTCTGAAAACGTGGTAGGCAGACTTAACAGAAAAAGCCCCTGAATTCTCCGGATGCCACACCCATGAGTCCTTCGTATCACTTGGGCCAACAGGGATCCTCTTGATTGCCTCAGCTTCTTCTGGAAGACAGGATTGCTCAATAATATCTAAATTCCATTCGTTCCCATCATTCATCACCCAATCGAAAGCTCTCAGTTGATGTCTTTGGTTATTCTGAAGCCTGAAGCCAGGTAAACTTGGGATCCAAGGGTCTTTGTCAAGAACGATATTCCTCCCATTGCCCATATTCTTCCTTGCCCCCAATTTTAGGATTTCTTTAGCTTCGCAGATACTTGACCAAATCCATGAGGGTTTCCTTCCTTTACCTGCATCCAAAAACTCAGAATGAGGGAAATAAAGGCCTTTAAGGAGACTAACCCAGATTTCGTTCTCCCCGTTAAGGATTCTCCATCCTTGTTTAGCAAGAAGAGCCAGGTTGAATTGATGGAAGTTCTTGAATCCCATTCCTCCCTCCTGTTTAGATGCTGTAAGGACGCTTCCTTTCCTCCAATGGATTGTACCTTTGTCCATGTTTCCTCCCCAGAAAAAGGATCTCAACCTAGCATCCATGATTTTTGTTGTACCCTTGGGGATGAGGAAACATGACATCAGGTAGGTAGGATAGCTTTGGTAAACAGCCTTGAGAAGAGTCTCTTTGCCAGCTTGAGAGAGAGCCAAACTTTTCCAAGATTGACCCAACTTTTCCATTCTGGCAATAAGACCTGAAAAGACTTCTTTTTTCGATCTACCCCATTCCGTTGGAACACCCAGATATTTGCCCATTCCATCAGACCGGGGAATGTTCATGAAGTCAGCTAACAATGTCTTGAGGGCCTCTGGTACATTTGAGCTAAAGGTGATAGCTGATTTATCATTATTGATCAATTGACCTGTCATACTCCCATAGTCCTCGATCATATTTTTTATTGTGATTGCTTCGGACATCGAGGCTTTCCCAAATAAGATCGTATCATCTGCAAACAACACATGAGTGAGCCTAGGACAGAAAGGATTAAGAGTCACTCCTTGGATACAACCATTATCCACATTCTTATTGATAAGGAAAGATAAGGCATTGGTCAGTAAGATGAAAAGGAGGGGCGAAAGAGGATCTCCCTGACGAATGCCTCTAGATGGCTCAAAGAATGGTGAAGGCTGGCCATTGAACAAAATTGAGAATCTCACAGAACGAACACAGATTCTGACCCACGAGCACCATTGTTGCGAGAACCCCATAGCTTTGAGGATTTCATCAAGACAATCCCAGTCAACCATGTCAAAAGCTTTTTTCATGTCGAGTTTCAACATCATATCCCACTTCCCACCTTTCGGTCTTGTTTTAAAATGATGCATCACCTCATGGACAATAACAATGTTATCTTGGATAGCTCTACCTCCCATGAACGCTGATTGCATTTCAGATACAAGCTTTGGAATCCATTCCTTCAGTCGAGATGTCATGATTTTAGATATCACTTTGTATCTGAAGTTGCAGCAGCTAATCGGTCTGAACTGGGAGATTCTTTCCGGATTAAGAATTTTTGGAGTGAGTACCAAGTGGGTATCATTCCAACCTGGCTCCATTTTTCCCTCAGAGAAGAAGACTTTAATTTCATCACACAGTTGTTGACCCACATTGTCCCAATATCTTCTGTAGAACATCCCAGGAAAACCGTCCGGTCCGGGTGACTTTGAGGCACCTAGACCAAAAACTGCTTCCTTGATCTCAATGTCATCAACAGGTTTGCAGAGTGCTTGGTTGATGTGAGCATCCACCATGCAAGGAATATCCCGAATCAAATTAAAGTTAAAGCCCTCCTCCCTTTTCTTAAAGAGGTCAATGTAGAAATTCATCACGTGGTCGTGGAGGGGACCTTTCTCTTCAATCCAGTTTCCACCTTCATCCAAAAGCTTAACCACTTTGTTCT